TATAGAACAATTACTGTCTAACTGGTCATTCTTAATACTATTTTTTTTTTTTTCAATAGACATTGTCTATTTTTGGTCACTGCAGATTAAGAGAAAAATTACATTCTAACTGGTCATTTTTCTTTTTTTTTTTTATATTTTATATTTTTTAATATAAATTGTCAATTTGTTTCGGTCACACTCTGCAGATTTTTATAATCTTAATCACATAAAATATTAACAACATAAAATAATTTATTAATAGATATGGGTTCACATTCAGAAAACCCCTTTGTATAATCTGGATTATCCTGCACTATGTGGCATTACATGCACTTTAAATCCACTGCTACTAAAACAATTGTGTATTGTTACTGAAACATAGTTTCAATAGCTTTGGGCCTGATCAGTGTGCTTTTCTCCCCATTCATAATCTATTGCATTGACATGTTGCACAGTATTTTAGGTATAAAAACCATTAGTGAATGTTTGAAATCAAAATATATTTGGCTCTGCTAGAGGTTCTCCTTCAACCAGCGGGTGTAGCTCCTAAAACTTCGAAACCCTACAGAAAACCGAAAGGGTCCAAAAGCGAAACTGAGGCATCCATGGAAACCATCTTCAAAGTGATCAACAGTGACGTCCACTCCGGCCTCCTCCAGTCGCGTGGCGTACATGAGTCCGTCGTCTCTCAGCACGTCATGCTCACAGGTCATGATGTAAGCGGGCGGCACGGCCTTCAGCACTTTTGTTTCAGCTAGTAGAGGCGCCGCTCTCACATCCAGCAGGCCTGGCAGCTTCTCCAGCAGCTTTGGGTCGCCGTGAAGCGGAAACACAGGTTTATAGCTCTTCTGGAAGGCCACCGGAAGAAGCTTGGTCCAGTCAGTCTTGGCTTTGGCCGCTGCTATCTCCTGGCTTGGAGTTGGAGTTGAGTGGTTGTTTGCCAGCAAAGACATAACAAGTCTTGGATCCCCGCTTAGGTACTCCAGCCAGAAGCGAGCCATGAGCGGACGGTGCAGGATGGGAATGTGGCTGTTCTGCTGATACGAGGGGGTGTTGAAGTCCAAGGCCTGAAGCGCGGGGTAGAGAAGAGCCTGAACTTTGAACTTAATAGGAGCACTATTGTCCAAAGCCATCTGTGAGAAGAGAGACAAAAAATGTGATAAAAAGTGTTTTATTTTCTTTTTCCTTAGTAATGAAAACACAGCCTGCAACTTGAAAAAAAACTACAATTAAAATATATGATAAAATATCATCACATAAAGTTTTTTTTTTTGCAAAATAAAACTGAAAATTATATATACTATAACACTACACTTATATATACTATATATAACACACACAAACTATATATATATATATATATAATTTTTCCCCCACAAAATCTGTAATTTTCTGTCGCTGTCTGGATGTAGTAAACTTTCTACACAATCATCGTTGCATTTTCTTCTGTCACTGGCCATAATTCCTACCTTGGAATCCAAATTAAGATCAGAATTGAATCAGAATTAAATCAGCTGTGAATTGAACAAATAGTTAGGAATCATGTCTTTGTGACAGTTTTTCTGGTGATTTTGGAATCTTCACCATCCAAATGGCTGTTGAAACAAAAAATGCTATGAAGTAAATCCTATTGTGTAAGAAAGTGTGACGTGCTAGACCAAAACAGGCACTATATTTGGAATCAGCACCTCAAAATAAGTAGGGAACATAATTTGACAGTATTTGACATCATTCAGCAAATATAGTGAAATTGATTTGCAGTTATTTCTCACACCTGTTGCGCCACAGCAGCGGCCAGATTGGCACCGGCGCTGTCACCTGACACAGCCACTCGTTTCGGGTCTATGGAGTACTGACTCAACACCTCGGCTGTCAGGATGTGTTTGGAGGCCTGAACGGCTTCGTTATACTGATCTGGGAAACGTGCCTCCGGGGCCAGCCTGTACCTGAACATACAAATTATATGTTAAATGACAGCTAGTAATAAATGTAATTAAAGCTCTAAATGGATGTAGCAATAAAATTATACAGTAGAGAATTGCTTACTCAATTGATATTACAACTGCATCCAACTCTTCAGCCATAGACCAGCACTGAAGGTAATACGTTTGCATCTCTTTAAAGAAAAAAGGAACAAAAGTTAAAACATAAAATATTGTTTTCCTCACTCCTTGTGTGTATAATATCCAAAACAGAAAAAAAAAAGTATTTATATGAAATCACATGCATTTTCACTTGCTTCCACTGCCGAGTGTCCATCCACCTCCATGGAAATAGACCACACCTCTTTTCAAATGTGGCTCTTGGTCTGCTGCTGTGGACTCAAACACTTGTGCCTGCACTCCTCCAAATGACGTTTCTGTGACCCGGATTGCTGGGCTGGACTGTGGACCCTTTATTTCATCCCATGATGCAGCATACTTTGCAATATCAAAAGGTCGACTCAGTCCAAGATCGTGAGCTAAAAAGCTCTATGGAAAAAAAAAAGACTACAAGTTAGAGGGATCAGAGAGCGGGATTGTTAAACACTCTCTAAAGGTCAGCAAATCTCTTGAAGAAAATGTATTTTATTCTGAAGGGACATAAGGAATGTTTGTTTTTTTAAGCATTACAGGCTCAAATTCCACATTTGTATTATTGAGAGCTATTAGATTTTTTTATTTAACCAGATTAACCAAGCATATAGTAAATTTAAACACATAAAATGTTTGGTGATTTGAGCATTTAGAGGTCAACAATTAAAATAATACAACATTTATAGAAATGTCAAAAACGTAATAACTCTTTTGAAACGATATTCAATAAATTTAAGTAAAAATAAAACGGTGAATAAAATAAAATAGTGAAATAACAAATGATCAAATATTTTTATTTGATTTTCTTAGACAAATTAGACAACTTTTTCAAAATATGGTGAAAAGACAAATAAGCAAATTTGACAAATCAATTTTTTGAGACAAATGAGACCATTTTTAATTGTAGCTTTTTATTTTTTGTTAGAAAATATATAGTTTATAGATTGTTATAAAAAATATGGTGAAAAGACAAATAAGCAAATATTATTTTCTTTCTTTTTCCTTTACAAAAGTTATTGTTAGAAAAAAAAACCATATATAGAATGTTAGTGTTTTTATTTTTTTAATTTATTTTGTTTTCTTAATAAGTTATGACGTTCATTTTTGTTCATTCCTAGAAAATAACACGTATAAGGGTTTAAACTTTGATCAGGCACATGTCACCCATTTTTATTTATGTTTAAATATTGTATCAACATTTAAATGACAATTATGCATATTTGTATAATGTAGCCTATATATTATATAACGGAAACAAATGCGAAGCTTACCAAATGCATTACACCACGCAATATGGAATCCATAAACATGAGTTTCCATGGCTCTGATATAGTGCTGGGCAGAGGCAGATAAATATAATAAGCAGCTGCTATTGACAGTAAAATCGCCACGATCAAAATGGACCGCATCATAATTATAGTTCCTGTTAAAAGAACACAAGAAACTCATGAAACTATACCGGTCTCACAGCTGACATGTAGTGACTGACTGTATGATGTTGTAATACCTCACCTGACCCCAGAGAGCAGTGGTTTTGAAATCACT